CACACACTTACATACATTGGAATTGGATTAATTTTGTGTCTTGCACTTTTCTATGCAACTACTATACGGCTGACTAATACGAAATGCACATCTTGTCAGTTACTTCAAAATTTCTTCAACACTACAGTTGTGTTGCTCTGAGCTCCAAAACAAACAACCCAAGCAGCAAATCCTACAGAGTTTAGTGCTTAATACGTTCGGAGGGAACATGTTTTCAAAAAGCCATCGCCAAAACCAAACGGAGCACCTTTTAAAGCAGTCACCGACCCCTCTGTGCGCTTTCGATCCGAGCACCAGATAGAAAATGAAAATGCTTTTACTGCATGACTGCACTTACACAACCCACGACCCTCACATCATCCAGAGAGAGCAATCAAGAGTGACGTCAGGCGACTTTAAAATGCACTCCGGTAAACAAGCACTCTCTTTTTCCCTGTGAATTCACCGAACACACTTTCACACACAAAACAGAACATGCATTAAGAGGAGACTGTGGAGAGTCATGGAAATGTAGCTCCCGTCTTTTGGCAGGGTGTGCAGCTGCTGCAGGTGTGCAACTGGTTTGTTGTTCTTTGCATCAAAGAGACAGATTCCACTTGTAGAGTTAAGAAGCGGCGGCGTGTGTTTGATCTGCACTGCAGTGCGGTGTTCAGTCTCGTCAAATAATTATTTTAGAGGTGGGTGTTAATTGAGTGGATATGCAGTGATGGAACAAGGTGCACCTGTTTCATTTCTGAGGGTCAGTATCATGCAAAATTGACTTTTTTGAGCTTTGCGAGTTATAATGTTATTCCAGCATCAAAAGCGTACCTGCAATGTTGCCCTGATTCTTTTATGCATATATGAGAAATCCTTGAATCCCCCGTGACACACCTCCTTCAGCTCCTTCAGACTAGCCAGCAGCAATTAGCAAATACCTGGTGTAATTGCACGTCTACTGAGCTCATGAAACACTGTTAAAAACTTTTTAAAGGGTTGATAGAGGAGCCATGTTGTAATGACTTCCTGAAGGCGGAGTTTCAGAAAAGGCAGGAGTTTCTTAAAGAGACTGAGGCCCAATTTCAAAGCATTAAGTTAAGAAGTCAAATTTCTTTTAAGTCATATTTCATATATAGAGGATTTTTATAACAACTGGTGATAACTTGGCTACTTGTACTATAAAATGGCACTATGGCACACTTTTGCATTCTCTGATTGTCTATTGTAAGATTTGTAAACTGTTTTATGTGGTCCACACCAAATTGCATAACTTTCCTTTTTTTTTTCAGTTTTACCTGACTGATGATTTTTTTTTCAATGTTAACATTCAACAAAGGAGACTAAAACATAGTACCCTGTGTCAGTGTAGAGCAGCAAATAAAGTTATGCCTCATCTTTGTTGCTGTACAGTATGGCAGTGGTGATGAAGACCCAGGCCAGATGGGAGCTGATGGAGCGGACGGATGTTTTCTACGTCGGGATCTCCCTTATAGTGATGGGAACGGTTCTGGTGGTCAGCAGTTTTCTCGCTCTGGGCTTCACTGGGACGTTTTTAGGTAAATTTCAAGTCATTTCTGACAGTAAATGTAGAGTGTAATGGTACACATATTTATATGAAAAATATCCACTGTGGACCTGAGAATGCAGTGCAACATTCTGCAGCACAACTTTTAGAAGTGGCACCAAAACTAAACACAGTGGACTCCCAGCTGCCACTAACTTCCACTCTTTAGAAAAATGAAGATTTCAGCTACACTAAGTTTTTATTTTATTTTATTTATTTAAAAACCACGGCAATAAACTTAATAGCCTCCATTTTTAATCAGCATTAACTAAACAAAAGTAGGTAATAATTAACTGTATGCCTTAAGAGCTCTAATATTTATTAGCTTGATTTTTGAATGTACTTTCACTTATTATTCTCCCTATTATTATTCATGTATTCCATTTTCTTTCCATTACTAATTAGCTTCTTTCTAGTTGAAGAAAAACTCCTTAGTTTTAGTTTGTTTTTGGTGTGACAAATGCATGTCGGTGTGTTCAGTGAGTCTTTGCTCATTGTGATGATTTTCTGTCTTGTGCTGCTGAAAACATTCTGGCATCATTGCAAACAAACACGAGCGCTGCAGCAGTGACCGCTTGCTAATTCTTGAGATGTAGAGTGGGAGAGACTCATAAATGACCCAGACTGACTGTCCCATGCTTTTCCTGCCTCGCCCATATCCATTACTGGCTTCAGACAATCACAAAGGGGGACAGAAGAACCAACAGAAGGGGAGAGGAGTCCTCCATTTTGCATCTCTGAAGCGCACCAGTTAAAGAGGAGATTGGAAGAAGTGGGGGAGTGGATGGCACAAGAGAAGATGTCGCAATTATACACTGCAGTGATCAATTTAAATATCTATAGAAACAAGTGCAAGTGATTGTGAATGAAAGAACAGCAGGAAGCAGTTAAAAAAAAGCTCGTATTTGTTCTGGTGCAATTATGGAGGTTTTAGGAGTAGAAAATTATGCCCCAGTAAAAGGTGGCGCATGTGGAAAGACAACTGGTCCAGCTTTTTAGCTAGAAGCATGATGTCTTGTCCTCCAAGTGATGAGTCATTCAAGGATAAAAAGGCTCTGTAATTAGAGAAACACACATGTGCCAAGTCAAAGTATAACAGACAAGGTAGGGCTGAAACCAGAGGTTTGCATAAAGAGAACAAAAGAGCAACGGGATTCTTAAAAACTGAAGAAAGTCAGAACAAAAAGTATTCATAGGCCATAATTCAGATTCTTTCATGCCTCAACGGGCAATTCATTTTACAGCAAGTGACAATAGAAACAACAACAAGCAACAACAATGAATTTTTATCTATAGGTCATGGTACTAAACTCCACTGAGTTTAGTACCATGACCTTATGTGGTTAAAAACACATAAGGTGTTGATGCTGCTGTTTGCTGCACAAGCCTGCACCTTAATTCTGAAGAGAATTTCACTTGAAAAGATAAACACAAAGGTCTCTCTGTCTGTTGGCAAAATGAACATGATTGTTTTTCTCTCTTTAAAATCTTATGTGAGGAGAAAGCCCGAACTACAAGATGGAAAAAAGAAAAAATTCTGAGATTGAAATCAGAAGTCTCAGATTAAAGTCCGATATAAATCCCAGAATTGTGTGAAAAAATTCTAAATTATGTGGAAAACAGTCTGAATTCTGAGATGGGGAGATAAAGTAAAAAAAAAAAATCTGACGTTAAAGACCCGAGATTAAAGTCTGAATCCAGAGATAAGTCTGACTTGAACCCCAGAAATGTGTGGAAAAAGTCTGAATCCTGAGATGGGGAAAAAGCACAAATTCTGAGAAAGAAAAAAAAAATCACAATTCTGATATAAAAATCTGAAATTTGATAATAAAGTCAGAATTCAGAAATAAAAGTCTCAGAATTTTGTGAAGAAAAAAATCAGAATTGTGAGAAATAAGTCATAATTCTAAGGTGGATAAAAAGTAACAAGTCTGGAAACTTTAATTTAAGAATTGTGAGTTAAACCCAGTATCGCGAGACAACGCATGACGGAGTGCTTTATGGGTTATGTCCATTATATCCTGATGATGCAAAATATTCTTTGGTGCTCCTTTTGACTTCACATGCTCCTGCAGCCACAGTTGATACAAGGTAATCAAGTGTCTGATCATCACAGGCTGTCAGCCCGTTCCCTCTAAAAGCCGTCAGGAAATGGGTTCCATTTACCAGATTACCAATCCACCGCTCGGTTCTGCTCGGTGTGAGTGCGCGCTTCGTCTTTCTTTTCAGCTCCTGCGACTTTTAAGCATAGGACATTCAGGACATGTTCTTCGTTAAACAAGTGGCCTGACAATTTAAACTGCACGGCACAGGAGCAAAGACATGTTTCCAGTTTAAATGAAGTCAGGATGCTGCTTTATTGGCCGCTTTTTTTTATATTCGTATAGAACAGTAAAGCAGTGAAAACAACATCGTTACAGTCGCGATTGGCTCCCAGATCTGAATGAAATGCCAGTCGTCACTTTGAGGGTCAGAACAATCGAGGCTGGCTATATTGTGGGAAGGCCAGGTGAGTCTGGGCGTCCGTTGAATGCCAAGCAGTTATGCTTATATAATCACCTTTCTTTTGCGCGCTGTTAAAAAAGAGCATACATAATGAAAAGGCGTTATGTAATTCGGACATTACCGGCCTCCATTTGACAGAAAACAGGGCCAGCAGCAACAAATGCGTAATTCAGTGGCTTTTTACCTGCTGCGTGTGTGTTTGTGTGTATGAATATTTCTACGTAGGTGGGCAGGGGAGGCATAAGAGAAATATTCAAATGTGCACATCCTGTTGCCCTCATCACACCAACTGGGTCAGATAACATCTGTGTTTGCCTGGGCACACCACTGGGAACTCATTGCATAGCAAAATGTGGTGGGTGTACGAGCCGCAGTGAGGAGTGTCCCAGTTCAGCTGACCTCACGTCCAACGACGCTGACCGCAAATAAACATCTTAAATAACTTTATCTTCACATGACTGACTTAGAAATACAATCTTTGCTGTGAAAGCTTTTCATTCTTTTACTTTATTTTGACTTTCAATGATTGGCAACAAACGAATTGTGTAAAATATCAGATGAGAAGCAAAACATGGCAGATTAGTGTTTTGTTTTTTAATAAAAACGTAACCGGGAAGCAGTTTAAGGGTTACAGCAACACCTTTAGGTTAGGCTGTGTCTGAAAAGGATTTCGAATAATGTACTTTCCAGGCCTATAGTATGAAAACGTCTTGCATTATGTGAAATTTCCATAGATGAGCCACGTTTTTAAAGTGCAGCACTTTCCGTAACCTTAGAAGAAGAAAACGCTGAAGGATAAAACGCAGCAGCTTTACTACCTTCTTTTGAACTTCTTTGAAAGCCTGTTCAGGTTGGCAGCAGATATGTCTCCGACTAGAATAGCTGCCTTTTTAGAAGCCTTCCTGCTGAACACTTTCCAGCTGACTGGTCACTGGTAAGGCCAGCCAGGCCTAAAATGGGCCATAATCGGTCAGCAGACAATTTCCCAACCCATCTCTAATTAGTGCAAAGTAGAGATGGAACACACACCCACACAGACACACACACACGCACAAACACAAAAACAAACACATAGGAGAAAATTATGTTTCCAGAGTGCTGCTAGCGTAATAAATGCAAAACTGTTTTTACGTTATCATGGTCATTAAAATTACATTTGACGGAATTCAATGTTTAGTCAAAAAAAATCAAAAAGTAAATAAAAATCCAGTCGAACTTTGTTGTCATTTAGCTGTTTCTGTGATTTAGTTTGTTTTAAAGGAACTCTTTAACCCAATGTTTCTGTGTTTGTTGTATAGGCGACTACTTTGGCATACTGATGGATGAGAAGGTGACCGGTTTCCCCTTCAGCGTCGTAGAGAACCCGATGTACTGGGGCAGCACAGCCAACTATCTCGGCCTCGCGCTCATGTGAGTAAATGTTGCCCGTTTTCTACTGACGGACTTGTTGCAAACAATTCGCTGTTAATCACCATCTTGAAAGTTTGTCGCCCCGAGACGATGAAACTCCAGCAGAATTGATGCGTTTGGCTGAGCGGAGCGGAGCGGCAGCGGCGTACGTCAAATGGCGCTCTAAATGAGGAGAGTGCACGCATAATTAATGAACCCCCGACCTAAAAATGGAACATGTTGTTGTTCTCCGAGTTGCAAGTCACGGCTGAAAAACGCAGCAAGGTAAAATAAGTTTTACGTGTGCCCCCAGTCTCCATGGCAACTGTGACAAAATGGCTGGGAGATTAGCGTGTGTGGTTGCTAGGCAAGCTTTTATGGAGTTGATGACCAGACTAATAAAAGCTCAGTCTCCTTTTTTTCCCCTCTCTCTTCTTCATCACTTTTTTTCCCCTCATTGCTGTTAAGACTCGTCTGGATTAGGGACGCTTTCTTACACCTCTACTTAATTTTGCTATTTTCAAATGTCTCTCTTCTTTGTCTTGCTTGGTCAGTTTTAAATGCAGTTCCCTTCACACTTAGTAGCATAGTTGTAAAATGCATTAAAACCCTCAAAATTGTTCTTTTTCATTGTGTGCATAGTCAAACCAAAACTTTAATTTGAGTCGACATAGAACAATGAATTGAATAACAATAATTTAATTTGATTTAACACAGGAATTTCAGGTAAGAATAGCTAGTTTTTATTTTACAAATATTTCCCAAAAATGCTAAGCAACATGGCCCAAGATTTAATTTATAAAAAAACAGTGAAAGGGGGAATCTGCCATGGGAGTGAAAACGTTTTGGAGGCTTTGTAGGTAAGAGGGCTAGAAAATGTAAAGTTGGATATCATTTGTGTCAAAATTAAATTTGATTTTGAATTTATGGAAGGCATCACCAACAGGAAGTAGATACATGATCAACTAAACAGAACAGAGGAAGAACACCTGCAGTACATGCATACTAGTGCCAGAACTTTAACGTGTTAGTTTCCATTAATTAATTACATTGATTTTAAGGGGCAACAAATATAAAAGCGATTAATCACTTTTTTTCTTCTTTATTAACATACTAAAGTCTTGTATTCACGTTTCTGGTATGGCCATGAATCTAACGCACAAGCTAACAACAGGGCTACACGATGAAGCTACACCAACCTGGTGGAATGGCAATTACAATAATGCTTTTTTGTGTGTTTATGGATTTTTAAGCATCATCACATTGAGTTGGCTGTTGCTACAATGAATCTTAGTTCTTGTAATGCTAAACAAAGTCCACAATAACTGACAACGATGGGATAAATGGCTATTCAGAGGGTGAGAAAATGAAGTCACTTTAGTTGGAAAGATGTCCTTTCTGTAATACAACATTGGCCAGTTTTTAAGTTTTGCAAATAACCTCATTTAGTGATTTCAAACATCTTTTTAATTCTTTAAAGAAACTGTGGCTGCACAGTTTTGTGCTTGGCAACACGTTGCCTTGCAACAAGAAGGTCCTGGGTTTGTCTTTCTGAATAAAGTTTTCATGTTCTGCATACACGTCTTTTATCACTACTTAAATTTCTCATTGAATTCATTTTCTAAATCATGTTGTGACTAATAAGAATAACCTTAGGAGTGCTTTTGTTTACTGTGAGTGAACGGTCTGAGGCTGTGAAGGATAACAGCCTCTCCGTTAGCCCTCGAACCCCATCAGCTTTTTCTGTCCTGTTTGTGTGAACTGGCCACCAAATGAGCTCACATCTGTTAGAAAATGTACTGGGCATGTTGCATTAAGACAAGCTGAACAGAGCGGTGTATATAAAATGGAATCTAAATATAGCTGCTTCATGTTTTTCCATCTAGTGACTAAATATTGGATTTGGTTTTTTTTTAGTTTTTTTTTTTAGATCATGTCAACAAATTGGTGAAGTAGAGCTTTATTTTTTAACCAACAGCTTTTAGTACCAACATATCCAGTAAGCAATAATTTGCAGAACTATATTTGCAACAATCTAATTTTATTTTCAAAATGTAGTAAAATGTAAGTTAAAATACTTCATTGCAAACAGAAGCGTTTTGTAATTGGTCTGTTTTGTGGTGACACTTTGCAACAGACATTTTATCACAGCTGATAAAATGCATCTAATTAAAATAGATCTGTTTTTAAAAGCCTAATTCACAGCAGACTCTCAGAAACTATAAAACAATGAAGTACATTCTAAATTGGCTTATAGTTCATACAATTAAGTCCAGGATTGCTCAGTTTTCCAAAAGATTTACATCAATATCTGGGTTGCCCTGTGGTAGACTAGTGAACATTACCCAATGACTGTCGTCTACACCTGCATGAACAAGCAGGTACAGATGATGGACGAAAGAATAATGGATTCTGGAGGTCACATAAATAAGAGCTCTGGTATATAGAGGCAAATGAAGCATGAAAACATAAAAGGGAATCTAGCTTTATAGCTTATAGTATTCAGATGTTGAGTGATGGTGTGGAAATTCTACAATCATCTCGGTTTTTAGTTGTTGTGCACCTTCCCCTACCCTTCACTCTACTTTGCTCGCTTTTGAAAGGTTCGTTTTGTTAAAACCGTCTTCGCCGAGTGCATTACAACTGTGGTCAGTTATATCAGAGACATTCATCATGTGGTGGGGCATGGGGTCTCTGAGAGACACGGAACAAAGACGCTCCCAGTCTGAGAAGATCACTCTGCGCTCTGGGCCACATCATGCCCTCAAACTCTGGGCTGCCATGTTGGAGCGCAGCCACATAAGCACTGGCTTGATTGGGAATCTGATTGGCTGGTGACAAAGCAGTGCTTCGTTGTATTGATGGTATTGATAGGAGGTAGTAAATCAATGTCATTTTGACATCAATGGCATTTGCCCTTTTTGGTGTTGAAATGTCCCTCCGGGTATACTGTAGTTGTTTTTCTTGTTGCTGGTAAATCTCGAGGTCATTAAATTTGGAAATTTTCCATTTGCTTCCCGATAACTACAGTAACAAGCAAAGAGTAAAGATTATTTTTGCTCCATTTGCCATTTTGTACCGTTATAGTTTTGCTTGGTTCTTATCCAGCTTATGCTTGTCCAGGTGTAGTCGGCTGCACAGGCAAAAATTCTGAAATAAAAACAGAAATGTTATGATCATCGACTGGTTGACGTATTCAGACACTATGTATCGTCACATTCTTAAAATAATAGTACTAGTGATTTTTAATTTTTTTTGCTAAAAGTGGATTTTTGGGGGGGAAATCACCACCTCTGTCTTTCTAAAAAATATTTTGGGCAAGAAAAAAAAATCACTATTAGCTAAAAATAACTGACCATTATTTTAGGGTGATGATGACTGTATGTTAATTTATGTTCTAAGACATTCTTTTCCATAAAAGAGTTATATGAGATTACTTATACCAATAATAACATACAAATCAATGGGAGAATAATAAAATTCTGATGTCACATTTTGTTAATTTGCCTGTCCCCAAAATGGGAGCGCATCTGCTGTTTCTGGATCAGGTGATAATGAGCTTGTACTGAGAATCACTCTGAGTCAAACAGCGTGAAAGAAGATGAAAGGGGCAACTTTTAAATAGTACTTCCCCACTGTCAGCTCCTCGCCGCTTTTCAAGCGGAAGCGTAAATTGAGGGAGTGTTTCTCTCAAATGGACATAACGTGGCACAATCAAGTCAACCGGCGGTGACCAGGTTTGGTCATAATATTTGTAGTAATGAGGTTTTGGAAGGGGGTCAGTAGCACAAAGAAACCGTGAAACGAGGTCCGCTGAGTCATGGCGTCAGATTGGTCCGTCTGAATAAGTGGGAGGCGAATGTTGTGCATAACATCTGAAGCCGATTGAAGCCATGAGAGGAATGTCATCACAGCTGTTCCATCGCTGACATAGAAATCAAAGTCATGTTAAAACACTTTAAATGCAAATGTATCAATGTGTGCATTGATAGTCTAGAGTTTTCTGGAGTGTACGTTTGTTTCATGGGGTAAAAAAATAATCTTTGTGTTTCACAGCACAGAGACAAGGCAGATAGTCAAAGTCCTAATTCATTGACCGATCACCTGTATGTATGATATTTGCACTAGAAATTAGGCCAAAAATACTTAGTAAGATCTTGTGTTTTTCCAGTGATTGTTAAATGAATGAAGATGGCAGCCCAGTCAAAGTGTAATTTCAAGTAAATATGCTATGCCTAGCTCTTTAGTATACCTCACCAAAGCCCTGCAGTCTGTGCTAGATTATTTGTTTTTATTCGGAGAAATCTAATGGTTTTCCCAAATTTTACTAAGGGTTCTAAGGTACTAAGGTTCTTCTCCATTGCATCTTCAAATTCCTTTAGTTCCTGTTTACCTCTGTTTAGACATTGTATACTGCTGGTTGAGGGGAAAGTGACAGAGCTACAGAACGTTACACGGCTGCATCTGTGCATCCCATGTTGGGTAGACCCCTTTTGGGTTCTATTACATGAGTCTTAATCGGCAGGTACTTTACCGCCAATGCCACTTCAAACTAAAGAGAATAACAGCAACTGGATGTAGAGTTTATCATCTACTTCTCAACGTAAAGGTGAACTTTGGGGGTATTGACAGGCAGGTTGATTGGTGTTCCTTGTCCTCCGCAAAATCCATAGACCACGAGCCTTAATGGCCTTTGTTTATGTTAATCTGTATAATCTGAGAAGTGGACACATGACAGTAATGTGTGCCGCAGCTGACTGATGACAGTTGCAGATTCAGGTAACGTAGATAGCAACGCTGCAGAGCCACTCATCTCCCTCAGCATTCAGCCTGATCTTCTGTCACACACATTGGCTGTGGACATCTTAATGTTTGTGTTAGACAAGGAGTAATTGTATTCAGGGGTTTCTGCAAAGATTGCTTTGTTATTATGACCTTTACCCACACTAAAGCAACTTTCGAAGTTGTTCTGCTTGTACAATTTATCTGTGAAACAAGTTACCATGCTGACCTCGTGCCTGCAGTGAGTTGGCTGACCTGTCACCTACTAAAGGCATCTGCTACACTGGTGACCAGCTAAGACAGCCAACAAGAGCCTTCACATTTTGTGTTAAGGTTAACGCTAGCACTAATCCATGAAGAGTAAGCCGATTTCAGCCATCTTAAAAAGCTCCAGTCTTAAGTTACTTTCTTGGAAGAAGAATTCAACTGTCATGCAAATTGTGAGTTAAATTTTAAAAATGTCACAACAGAAGGGGGGGAAAAAAGAAAATTCAAATTAGGCATGTTTCCATCTACTGGTTTGGAGCAAATCAACCAGGCTACGCAAAACGTAACTTGGTCAGATGTTGACGACGTCAGACCCGTTTGACATGGAACATTAGTGAACCTCCCTAGACGTGGCCAGATGACTCAGAAATCAACTCAAGACTGATTAAACAGCTCATCCAAAAAGTCACTAAAGAACCCAGAGAAGCTTTTAAAGAACCAAGGTAGTAGTTCCAGAAATTTTGGGTGAAAATAATTTTACAAAATAGGAAGCATACTTTTCTTTTTCTTTTTTTTTTTTCATTTATTCAAAAACTATGCTTTTCAAATTACATCACCACTCTGCACAAAAAGCTATTTACTTTGGCTCAAATAACGCTGTTTCATAACTTATGGTCTTGGCACTACAGTCACATTTGTCTATTATGAGTTATAGATTTTTTTCGTTGTCACTGAATGAATCTTTTTTTTTTTACCCAGCTGTATTCTGATCACTTCCACATACACATGTATGTCACATGTGTATGTCACATGTGTATGTGGACACAAATGTGTCACATTTCTCATCTGTAATATGTAGGACAGGTAGTTCTTGGTCTTTTCTTGCCTGATGTGTTCCAGTGAAGTTAAATAGGGATCTCCTTTTGTCTCAGGGATGTCGTCATACCCTCTTATCTATCTTCTGTTTTTCTCTCTGGTTCTGTCTCCAGTGGTGCCAGTCCTGTTGGGTTGGTTCTTACTGCCATAGTGGTCCTGGCTTACAAAGTGGCCATAACGTTCGAAGGGTAAGTCTCAAAAGCCTGGTTGTTATTTCTCACAAATGTATTAGAGTTATTAATAATGGGGAAAAAAAATTCCAGATGGGGTTTCATGACAATGTGCCTGATCCATACGGGCAGAATAGCCTATATTTGTGTTCCTATACTCTTCACAATCAGAGTTTGAAATTAATTTAAATGTCATGAAATGTTAAGATGTACTTTATTTTGAAAAAGCAACATCGTTGGTGCATTTTCTGGCATAACATCGGCATCTACGTGTTTAGCTGTTTCAGGAGATGTGGAGGAAAAAAACCCCAGCTGATTATCATACCAGGCTTTATTGGGTGCTCACATGTGTTTATTTTGGTTTTGGAGAATGAATTGAAAGTTTAAAGTAAGCACATGGCAAACTAACCTCTCCCAACACATCACTCAACCCACGCCGGTAAAGTGAGCTCGAAAAAATGATACTTCAATAAAGACATTCACCATAAAAATACAGGTGAAAAAAAAAAACAATGTTCTCTTGTTCTAACATATGATTCATAAGTATTTTGAAATCATTTTAAAGTTTGTCTCAACAAAACTGAAACAAACAGCCAGACAGTATCTCTAGAAGTGGTTTGAGTGGCTGTGTATGGGTGTGGGTGTATGTAAGGCTTGCTGTTGGTTTTTATTTATTTTTTATTTTGCTTCTGTCAGTAAGACGGAGACATCTCAAGGACTGACGTGGGTTGGCAGGCTTCTGAATTTTCTGTTGGCTGCTGTACTGAAAGTGTTGCTTTAGGTTACTGAGGGTTTTTGAGAAGAGGCTGTATCCGTCGATTCGAACACAGACTGCATGTTTTCAGTCTCGCAAAAGCATCTACACCCCTAGGACATTAAAATGAATAAATAAATAACCTCAGTAAAACACAATGAAGTTTGCAGTTTACAGAGATTTAAGGGACTCAAATTAACTCACAAGAGGAAATTTGTGCAAAGTTTTGCTCCCTTTTTGAACACTCCGCTTTTACCCCGTGGCTAATATAAATTCTTTATATCTCAAACCCACGATTTAAGAAGGAGTGTGATTTTCAGTATTATTTGCAGCTACATTCAAGCTGGAGATGTGCAGGTGCCAGATTTAACCACACGCTGCGATGATTACAGGAGCCGTGTGCTGTATCTGTTATCTGTGTGTCTCACTGATTCTCAATAGTACTATTAGTTAAGATGTGCGTGTGTGTGTGTGTCTGTGGCTAAGGGAAAATTGCCTCATTCGAGTTGGTAAGAATCACCAGTGTGAGAGAGGCAGAAACCCAGCAGAGAACAGGTGGTGATGAAGTGAATGCCGTCCAGCCCGGTCAACTCACAACTGTCATAAATCTAGGAGAAAAGAGGTGAGGATAGGTCAAATATTGGATTAAAAAAATATGTTTTTATGCCTGAGGAAGTTAAAGAACAAACATTTCTGTATGTATGTGGGTGACAAAAGTAGGTCAGTGTTTGTGTTTAGTTCAGAGTGACCTTATCAACCAACACTGAATGTCAGCTGGAAGAATATCTTCTGTTTTTCTAACCTCAGTGTCAAGTGTTCTTTTGCCTTTATCACAAACTGGGTCTAAAACCAAATATATGACTTTTTTTTATCTTTCATCCTAATTTTTCTTGTCCGTTGCAGAGTAATTTTATTCACAAATCTAAAAACATGCTGAAGTCCTTTAGCCAAAATAGTTTCCAAAGTAGTTCTGCAACTAAATAACTCTTCACAGATCAGCATTCAGCAGAGTAAAAACGGGCTTTCTATTTTCAGAATGGAATTTTAAAACGCCATTAATCCTCTTGACTAAACTCCTGCAGGGTCCATGCTACATTGTTGGATAACAAAAGCCAATTTCCGTTTAAACAGTGTAGAATTTGACTTGCGGGCAAAATCGGTAACATAAAATCTTACTAAAACTGTAAAATTACGTTGAGTTTTGACCTTAATTCCAGTTCTCCCCAGCGACAATGTTTTCTGATTGCATAAGTAGCCATTTTTATTAACTGATGTTGTATCAAAATAAAATCAGGAGTTTAATTAAAGGAGCTCTTAGTTGTTAAAAAGCAGCAGCTGTTAATGAACTGCGTTTCAATCCAAATTTCACTCAATTCATTCGCAATCTGTCAGCAGAGACAAAGATATGTGAAGCAGAGCAGCTCGCTTTAGAAATCTGCCTCTATGCTTTCTTCTCATCTTTCTGTAGAGGCTCTTTTTGCAAACGTTAAAAGTTTTCTAGTTAGTATATTTTATGTTACTGGTTGTGCAATGCGACCTAAATCTGCTCTGACCTACTTCTGAACATCTGAGCTCACAGATATAAAAAAAAAAAGTTAAAATAGGAACCTTTACATAAGGAGAAATACAATGAGCTTCTGCCACTCAGCAGGTAACATACAAACACATCACATCCAGGTGTTTGTTGTAAGTCACAAACTGAGATATAATGCAGACAGTCGTGATATAAAGAAAGCAACTTGAAAAACTCAGTGTGGACAGATTTGAAATGGATCTAGATCCAAATCAGGTTTGATGTGTAAACCTAGTTACTCTGACTAAATCTGACCTGTACATCTTCCCACATTACTTTGGCGGAATGATTTCGGTTTATTGAAGTTTGCAGACGATCCTCAATCTCTCTTTTTGAGCCATTCTGCTATCGCTTTGTTGATGTGAGTAAGGTCATTGATGACCCTGTTTTGACTCAGCTTCTTCTGTCAGATGAACTCCTTTTGCCTGTTTCCTTCCTCATCAGGGTCGTCTTGTTTGTTTAACTCGCGTCCTCTGACGGTCAGGCAGCAATGGCAGGAAGGTGTTCAATCAGCTTTCCCAAGATGAGGCGTTCAGGCTGACAGACAAGTGTAGGAAAACCAACACTGAATCTTAAATTGAATGCTACACCAGCTTTCGTGGCGATTAAAGCAATCCATGTATAAGAAGATTTAATACTGGGCAATAGGAGCGGGTCACGACTGCGACGCCGGTCAGCCGTGGTGTCATTTATCGTCCACTGGGGAGCTAAAGATTTAACCACACGCTGCGCTGATTACGGGAGCCGTGTACTATATTTGTCTAACGTGTGTCTCACTGATTCTCAGTAGTACTATTAGTTAAGGGGTGTGTGTGTGTGTGTGTGTGTGTGTGTGTGTGTGTGTGTGTGTGTGTGTGTGTGTGTGTGTGTGTGTGTGTGTGGCTAAGGGAAAATTACCTCACACAGTGATTCTAGTGGGTAAGAATCACAGGCAGGAACCCAGCAGAGAACAGGTGGTGATGAGGTGAATGCTAGGCAGCCGAGTCAGTTCACAACCATCATAAATTTAGTATAAATGAGGTGCAGACAGATGAAATGTTGGTTAAAAAACACTTTGTGGTTATTAAAATTGACTTTTTATTCCTACTTATTCATCTTTTGGTTTCTGTTCTAACATTTGTTCCTAATTAGGTGTAAAAAGCAAAGGCAAGGAAAATTCTGATTATTTGATTCAGTTTTTCACATTCATCACTTGACGTCTTAAACCTCAGAATTTCAAAAACTTAAAGAACAAATCCAGCTCAATGTTTTATTTATTATTATGAAAATAAAATCTCACTGTAGATGTCTATAGGTAGCAAAAGTAGGTTTAGTTCAGTTTAGCCTTGACAACACGGCCA